TGGATCATACACTGGGTCATATGCCAGACGACCCTTCGTTAGCTGTTTAACCGGTCTGCTACCTAAGATTGACTTTATAGTTGAGATCTGCCTTGAGGTATCTCCTAAAGGAGATAACTTAAGAGCATCTGTCAGCTGTTCTTAGACCTCCAGTGTCTTGAGGTGTGGCCTCCAAAATAGCATTCTAGAAACTGCTGTAATGGTAGAGACAATTGGTTTATTGGAAGCGTATACTCAGTTTCAAACCTTAGCTAATTTATGATAAAAAGGAAAACAAAATACCTTTTTCAACTTTATATACTGTTCTGGAAGCAAGTATTAAGGAAGATGCGTTACTGATAAATGCTAAGTTACAGTGTTATTTGTAGTGAGGTGAGCGCTTGGAGCTATGTCTTACGTGGTTCTCCATTTCCCATGGCAGTCATGGCTGTCAGTCTCTTTGCTCTTCCCTTCTCACTTTCATGAGGTTTTTATTATCATTATCTGAGCTGTAGGGATTAGACATGCCTAGAGGTATGCCAAAACTAAGATTAGGTTTTACCTGTCTATTAACTGCTGAAACCCATGGAGTTGTGTGAGCTGCACAGTGCTTTAACTGAGGCTGAAGGTCTGAGCCAAGGTCTAAAAAGGAGGTGATTCTGGGACGGGCTGATGGCAATAATTGTTCGACTAACTTGTTGCCCGGATCACAGTGTGGTCAATAGGGAGTGTGCTACAACATCAGATCACAAGTCAAACAGCTGAGATATAGCTAGGTCACATCGATTCCTAATGCTACAAGACATCTGGGATTCTGTTCGTCATTCCCGTAGGGAAGAGACAACCTAGTCTTTTTAATTTACAAAGGCATTGAGTAGCTGCATTCTGAATAGAAAGGATACGGAATGATCTCTTTGCGTACTAGGTATCTTTTATGTCACACATTTATCAATAATACATAAAGGAATTAGTATCTCCCAATAACTAGTTTCTTGTTTCAGCTTAGGGGGAAATATATCATGATGAAAAAGAAAGCGAGACTTGTCCATTTTTCTCCTGCGTTTTAGCGTTGAAGACAGGACAAGGAGTAAATGGACGATGGAGACCAATCTCCCATTCCTGGAGGCAGGAATGTCTCTAAGGCTCTCTCTGTGAAGACACCTTCAAGGAAAAAAGAGTTGTCTTCAGAAAAGATTTCCTAATCTCTCTAGACAGCTGATCTGATTGGCTGAATTCCTGGTTATGTCAATAAAATGTTCGCATATGATGTAAAGTAGAAAACTAGCACAGTGAATGCTTTTGTTAGGACAGCTGCTAAAGGTGTATTACAGATTCAAGGAATGCAGGAGGGAGAATGTTTGCATGCAGTGGGGAGGGGAGGAAGCTGCTGTGTGGATGCCAGAATAAAGCCTAGCTTAAAGCCATACAGGAATTCCACAGCTCAAAGTTGCGGTGAGTGTTTCCTTCCCTCTGTAAATTGGGAAGAATCTGTTCCACCCAGCATCTTTGTGAAGCAGATGTAGCAATGTCACTTGGCTGGCATGACACACAGTTAGTTTGATTTTTATCATAGAGTTTCTGCTTTGATGCCACCCTTTTACCTCTCCCAGTCTGTTCTATGCAGTTAAGTTTATAATGATTTTTCTATTTCATTTGATAAATCTACTAAATAGTTATTGAAAGATTGTGTTTACATTGACTGTAGTGGCTTTGAGTGAAAACTGCATTTCAAGTAATCATCTTTAAGACATTTAAGCATCTGCTTTTCCCTTTGTATATATACTATACATATTTTGCAATAGATGCTCATGGATTAGGAAGTACTCTGTGCACACCCAGCATTGTCTGATGCTGTGTCTTTTAGATGGAAATGGGTGGAGCTGGTTTTCAGGGAAGAATTCTGGAAAACATATCCAACTTGAGAGCTTAATGCTCTTGTGTGTCTGACTGCAAGGCAAGCTTTCCTCCTACAGACCATTTTCCTGAGAATGTGGGAGGGATTGTGAAGATGTTTGGGTTAATAGGGTAAATTGCAGGTTTTGTGTTCTGTGAGACTTCTTCTTACACAATCAAAATAGAGATTATAAGTAGAGGCTGAAACAGATAAGTAGAGTCTGTTTCTAGGAGCAGAATGTTAAGGATATTTCCTCTTGGAAAAAGGAAAAAAGGTGGAAAAAATGTGGTATTGGGTTGGAAGTCAAGGAACCTATAGTAAAGTTAGAATTACTAGTTTCTGCCTCTGCCACTGACTTGTAGCTTCATCTCAAGTGAGTTTCTTAACCTTTACCTCCAGACTTGAAGTTGTTACCTGCCTGCGTCATGATGAGATGCAAGTCATTGTATATACATTAAAACTACATATAAAACTTTTAAGATTTTTGAGGAAATAAACCATAGTTTTAGGAGGGAGATGAATACCCATACCCCAGGCATTTTTTATATGCCTGCTGGTTTAATATGCTAATAGAGATACCTGGATATTCTTGATGATGCTGTAGCTCCTTGCAGAAATAGAAGAAAGATGGAAGAAAGGAAAGGATATACCTTTTTTCTTTCTTCTTCAACCCTTTGCTGATTTTTAAGAAAGAAAGTGCTGAAATGGCAATCAGGGGGAGATGATGGCAGAGTCTGAAGACTTAAGGAGGTTGCCGTGGGGCCACGTAGAACAGAGATTTGAGAAAAATGGGAGCAGATCCCTGTTGGCAAAGAAATCAAAGGTTAGTAGCAAGCAGAAGTGGGGAGAGGGCTGCCAAAGAGAAAATGCTTGTTTCTTTGCACCAGTGTTAAAACCAGGACTGAGGAAAAGAAAATATCAAAAAAACCCCCAGACAAACAAAACAACCCAATCAGGCTGAAAATCCGTAATGGCTTCTAATTTTTTGTTGTTGCAATGATGACAAAATCTGTCTAGTATGTTTTCTTATGGCCTCAATGTTCTATAGCTGCTTTTTGAAATGACCTACGCTAGCGTGTTAGGTAGAGCTGCTTTTCAAAAAGGAGGCGGTAGGTGGGGCTGTTTGGTCTCCCCGGTGATTCACACAAATAGCAGAAATAAAGGTAAATTGTCGAGAAGCCTTCTAAACTGGGCCATAGCAGTGCCATTTCTGAAGACTGTAGCTTGTCCCAGTTCTTTGCTGAGGATGTTGTCCTGGGAAGTTTTCTGTAAACTACCATGAGGAGAAATCCATTGTTGAGAGAGCTGAAAGTGGGGCAGGATCTGACAGTTGTCAGCCATTGCAAGCCCAAGCCTCATCTTGTCCTTTTGACTTTTTAGCTGCTTTGAAGAAAAAAGAGGTTCTTTGAGATATCAAAAGATATTCTTTACAACCTCCCATACCCATTTTCCTGCAGGGAGCAAACACTTTTTCTTGCTTTACCTTGAGCATCTTGACTGCTGTTAGAGGTTGGTCAGAATCCGTGATTGCCTTCCCCAGCTTCTGCTTTCTTTCAGTCTGTTGGTTTGAAGAACTTTAGTCCTTGGCTTTATTGTTGCTCCTCATTTACCAAAGTAATGGGAAAAAAACCACAGTCTTTGCTTTTTCTCATTATGGTTCTCAGGACCAGGAATAAAAATGGCCACTTAAAATTTTATCTTCTTGTTCAAAAAAACCCCAGTACTAGTAGGAAAAAACCCAACAAACCACAACAGCTTGTTCTTATAATTTTAGCAAAACAACCCTTTTGTCCCAAAACCTGCTGTGGAAACTAAAATTCTTTGTAGTGTTAAATGAAAGCAGTTTTATACTTATGGTCTTTCTGCATTTACATTTTCTGCTGACACCAGGTCTTGTCATTAGGGCTTTCAGGCACAACTCCTGTTTCTATCCCAGAGTTCAATTCTCTTTGAAACTCATGCAAGCTATAATGGTGAAAACAATTATTTCTACCTATTTATTTTAATTTGAAAGTTTAAAATGTGTCACAGAAAACAGCTTTGTTTTTCTCCAGAATTTTTTCCC